AGAATTAAAGTAGAATAAAATTAAAGTAGAATGGAATGGAATAGAATAGAATTGAATAGAATAGAATTAAAATAGAATAAAATTAAAGTAGAATAGAATTAAAGTAGAACGGAATAGAATAGAATATAGAGTAAATAGAATTAAAAGAATAGAATAGAATTAAAGTAGAATTAAAATAGAATAGAATTAAAGTAGAATGCAATAGAATAATAGAATAGAATTAAAGTAATTAAAGTAGAATGGAATGCAATGCAATGCAATAGAATATAGAGTAAATATAGAATAGAATATAGAATAGAATTAAAAGAATAGAATTAAAGTAAAATAGAATTAGGATAGGATAGGATTAGAATACAATAGAATACAATTAAAATAAACTAAAGTAGAATAGAATAAAATTAAAATAGAATAGAATAGGGATAAAATAAAAATAAAAGAAATAAAGTAGAAATGATAGAAATAAAAGAGAAATAAAATAATAGAAATATAATTCTTTATTGGCCAAGCGGGATGGGGCACACACCAGAAGTTTGTCTTTAGCAGCAGCTGCACCCTTGTAGGGATCAGCCCAGGTGGCGTTTTCCAGCCCCAACCGGTAGAATTTGAACTCAGGGCTTTTGGCCCCAGGCAACCTTTCCTGGATCCTTTTTTTTTTTTTTGCCCCGCAGCAATCGCGCGGCACCTTCGCGCAAGGTGTATAAACCACCCTCCCAACAAGGCCCCCCTCCCGACGCGTGGGCAGAGCCGGCCCCCCCTCTCTTTCCAAAGCGCCGCTGATTGGCTCGCTCTTCGTGGAGGGGGGGAAAGCCCGAGAGAGGGAGGAGCTGCTTAACTAGAGAGGGGGGGAGCAGGCTGAAAGAATCGAGCGCCGATCTGTCGCTTCGGCCAAGGCTTTCCCCTTCGGAGGAGGTTCAGCCAGACCCGGGGAGTCGAGCGCCGCGCTCATCGATCGCCATCGGCCGCGCCTGACGGAGCGAGCGAGCGGCTGCTGCTGCCTCTCCGGCGGAGCGGAGGTCGCTCGGAGTGCGGACACCGCGGGCTTATCCTTCCCGGGTCTGACCGGCCGCCGGCTAGGAACTTTTCCAAGCCCCGGACGGGTAAGGAAGCACTTTTGAGGTGGGGGGGGGGGGGGGGAAGTGGCGCTGGGGAGGAGGGAGGGGAAAAAAGAGAGGGGGGACGCCAGAGGTCATCTAGTCGGCCTCCCTGCTCGGTGTGGGCGGGGGGGCGCGGAGGGAGTGGGCGCCGCCGTCACCGAGCAGAGCCTGGCTGTTCAAAGAGTTCCAGTGCGGGGGGGGGAGGGGGAAGAAAGAGAAGAGTGG